AGTTCTTAGTTCAAGGTAGTAAGATTACTTCTCTTTTATGATATCTTTGATTCCTTTGTGGTATTCTTAGAAGGCGATTAATACTAGTTATTAATTGTTGTCTCAAGTTACTCGTAAAGTGGTCAAGATCCGAATCTATTGTTTTGATTTGCTTTTTAAGTAAAGGCGTTTGATTCTTCCATAAATCAAGACGTTGTTACTTTGATTTTGTCAAGGCTATAGAACTTACGTTCTTGGAATTCTTTCCTTAAATTCTTCCCATATCTTTTATTTTCATCTCTTTAATTCTAGTTGTTCCATATCCTTGTTGTTATTGCTTCCGCATTTACTTCTCAAATTCTTACTCTAATTTGAATTCCCGACCTAGTTGTTATCACTTTATCTTTCAAAACTTCACACTTATGTCAAACCTTAACTCCACTTTCACATTAATATACATTAACTCCATACTTCTTTAAGCACAATTACATTAAGAGTTACTAATATCAAGGAATATTTGCACAACAATACAACCATTTTTTCTTTCTTTTTCAATTCAAGTGACTCTTACTTTTTTAAAACAGTGCACCTTTCTCCTTATTTTATTAGTTCCACTCCAAAGCCAAACCAGCCACCCCACACTTTAACTTTTACAAAGTTTGTAACAATTCAAGTGCTCATGAGAGGTGAAAAGGTTCAAAAAGATAGTTAATTCAAATAAATGGGTAAGACTTGTTATGTGGTTACCAAAGAAATATGATCATAGGCTCAAAGGAGTTAACTATAATACATAACTATTAGGCAGGTAAAACATATAATTGGTTCAACAAAGAAACGCCTATGTCACTTCCAAGACTGAACAATACTACTATTTCACTTTGCAAACACACGGGGCAAGTTCTAGACATCAAATGCAATGCACAGAATAACACGCAAACCTCACACACACATGGCACATAACTCACTCAGGATTGGAATTATCAAGACACTCTAGTCAAAGCAGTTAAGCAAAGTTAAGATCATACAACTTAAGGTACTTATGCAAGAGTCAAAAACTTCTCTTAAGTGTCACCACCAAAGTACTCACTATTCTAAAGCCATAGCAAAGTCAAGAGATATTGCTTCAATTCAATTCATAGCACAATGGTTCATACTCCTCAAAAGTAAAACTAACTACACCCGGTTTAGACAAAACCGTTGGAAAAGAATTGCGTCACAAAGAAAAACCAAGGGGTAATTGATACTACCTACAAAGAAAATCTTTTTGTCCTTTTTCTTTAGACTTAAATCGCTCAAAAAAACTATCTAGGAGATCCATCGTCGGAAAAAGTCCCCATTTTTTTTATTTACCAAAAACTACTACACTAAGAACGAGTATTACTACTAAGCTAAGATAGGACAGAAAATTACCCGGACAATCTCCTCACCCCACACTTAAAATTGTGCAATGTCCTCAATGCACACTATAAATAACAAGAGGGTAAAAGAGACTCCTTGGTAGGCCAAAGGCCGAAGAATTAGCAGCTCACGGGATACTCAGACTTCTTCTAGGTGTGGTCCTTTGTGTGGGCACCCCACACTTAGTTCTCACCATCTAGCTCGCTTTTGCACTCTTCTAATGGCTTTGCGTCCTATTCTTATAATCCTACAAAATATAAATAGACACTACAAAAATAATATAATAAAAATAAAAAAAAAGCAGTAAAGCTGGGTTGTCTCCCAACAAATGTCTGATTTAACGTCGCGTCACGACGTAGAGCCTCGCTTACTCTTCAACGAGTACAACATTGGTCTTCTCACGATTAATTATTCCTCCCCAATAGTGCTTGACTCTTTGTCGATTCACTAGAAATTTCCTTTCACCATTTAAAGCACGCAACTCAATTTGCGCCATAATGAGTGATTCTCACATCCTCAAACGGGCCTGACCATCTCGATTTTAACTTCCCAGGAAATAACTTGAGCCTAGAATTGAACAATAATACCTGTTGGCCTGGCTCAAAATGACGTGGCTTGATACGTTTGTCATGCCATCTTTTCGTTTTCTCTTTGTAAAGCTTAGCATTTTCATAAGAATGCAGTCTGAACTCATCTAACTCATTCAAATGCAAAAGTGTCTTCTCACCCGCGGCTTCAAGGTCTGTATTCAACTTTTTAATGGCCCAGTATGCTTTGTGTTCAAGTTCAACAGGCAAGTGACATACCTCCCATAAACAAGCTTATATGGAAACGCCCCAATTGGCGTTTTGTATGTAGTTCTATATGCCCATAAGGCATCATCTAACTTTACAACCCAATCATTCATATTCACACTCATCGTCTTCTCTAAAATTTAATTTATTTCTCTGTTAGACACCTCAGCTTGTCAACTTGTTTGCGGATGATATGCCGTAGAAACTCTATGGCGGACTCCATATTTAGCTAGAAGGTTATTCAACAACCGATTGCAAAAATATGTACCTTCATCACTAATCAAGATACATGAAGTCCCAAACCTCGAGAAAATGTTCTTTTTTGCAAATGCAACTACCACCATGGCATCATTTGTTGGCAATGCAATTGCCTCTACCCATTTTCACATGTAGTCAAATGCTAGCAAGATATATTTGTTTCCTCTGGACAATGAGAATGTACCCATAAAATCTATCCCTCACACATAAAAAATCTCGACCTCTAGGATGTTATTCAAAGTCATCTCATGCCTCTTTGTAATTGTTCCTGTTCTTTGATACTGGTCACACTTCTTAACAAATGCATGGGCATCCTTGAATAATGTTGGCCAAAAGAAACTGGATTGTAATACCTTTGCAACTGTTTTATCGTCTCCACGATGGCCCCCATAAGGTGATGCATGCCAATCATACAACACTAATTCCACTTTGTTTTCTAGAATGCATCTCCTCATTAACTTATTAGCACACTGCTTGTACAAGTATGGCTCATCCCAGTAGTAGAAGTTCACATCATGTAGAAACCTCTTTCTAGCTTCAGATTTTTCAGGAGGAAGTACCCCACTCACAAGATAGTTCACATAGTCCGTGTTCCAAGAGGGAGGGGCTTAGGTGATAGCAAAAAGTTGCTTATCAGGAAATTCCTCTTTAATTTCTCCACCCTCCTCCACGTGGTCATGATTCTCCAGGCTTGATAGATAGTCAACTACTTGATTCTCTATGTCCTTTCGATCTCGTATTTCTACATCAAATTCCTGCAACAACAAAACCCAGCGCATCAATCTAGCCTTAGATTCCTTTTTTGTAAATAGATACCTGATTACTGCATGATCGATATGGACTATGACTTTTGTTGCCACCAAGTATGCCCGAAATTTCTCAAAGGCCCACACACCGGCTAACAACTCCTTTTCAGTGGTGGTATAATTCAGTTGTGCATCATCAAGAGCCTTACTCGAATAGTAGATGGAATAAAACACCTTATCTTTCCTCTGGTCTAGCACTGCCCCAATAATATGGTCACTTGGATCACACATAAGTTCAAATGGTAAGGACCAATCCAGCGCCGTAATAATGGGGGTAGCCACCAACTTCTTTTTGAGCTCTTCAAATGCCTTCAGGCAGGCGTTATCAAAATTGAAAGTTATATCCTTTTCAAACAACCTACACAAAGGTGTAGCAATTTTTGAAAAATCCTTTATAAAATACCGATAGAACCCCGCATGTCCCAAGAAACTCCGGACACCCTTTATAGAAATGGGTGGAGGAAATTTTTCAACTGCCTCCACCTTCACCTTATCAACTTCAATGCAGCTTCTAGACACTCTGTGAACCAACACGATGCCTTCCTACACCATAAAATGGCACTTTTCCCATTTCAACACTAGATTTGTTTCTTCACAACGGGATAACACCTTGCTCAAATTCTTCAAACAGTCATCATAAGAAGACCCAAAGACTGAAAAATCATCCATAAAAACTTCCACAAATTTTTCCACCATGTTGGTAAATTTAGCCATCATGCATCTCCAAAAAGTGGCTGGAGTATTATAAAGACCAAACGACATACACTTGAAGGCAAAAATGCCATAAGGACAAGTAAAAGTGGTCTTCTCGTGATCCTCTAGGCATATGACAATCTGGTTGTACCCTGAATAACCATCAAGAAAGCAATAATATTCATGCCCCGCCAATTTGTCCAACATTTGGTCAATGAATGAAAGTGGAAAGTGGTCCTTGAGGGTTGCTTTATTGAGACTTCTATAATCAATGCAAACTCTCCACCCCATCACGGTGCGAGTAGGAATTAACTCATTTTTCTTATTCTCTACCATAGTCATCCCCCCTTTTTGGGCACACATTGCACTGGGCTTACCCAGTTGCTGTTAGAGACAGAAAAGATGATAACCTGCATCGAGCCACTTAATTGCTTCCTTCTTCAGGACTTCTTTCATAATGGGATTTAATCTCCTTTGTTGCCCAACACTGGGAGGTGTCCATCTTCCAAAAAGATTTTATGCATACAAAACGATGGACTGATTCCCTTGATGTCAGCAATTGTCCACCCAATAGCCTTTTTATGCTCGCGAAGTACCCTGCGCAATTTTTCTTCTAGTACATTAGTCAAGATGGATGAGATAATCACTGGCAATGTCTCAGAGTTCCCCAAATAAGCATAGCGCAGATGCACTAGAAGGGTCTTTAGTTCTAGCGTTGGAGCTTCATCAATAGATGGCATAGGAGGGGCCAGAGTGACATGCCTGTCCAACTCCTCAAATCTCCCAAACCCAAGGACATAACTGCAAGATATGTCAAGTACTTGCTCAATTTCTCCCATCATTTCATCTTCATTGTCTTCTTCATCCCCAATCAAAGCTCGTTCAAGAGGATCTATGGGGCTCATATAAGGCACCAATGACGTAGCATTACTTTCCACCACAGAAAACATGGATAGATCTTCATAGTGGGCTGGAAATCTGAGTGCTTTATACACATTGAATACCTCCACTCGATCACCGACTCTCATCGTCATCTTTCCTTTGCATACATCAATAATAGCTCGGCCGGTGGCTAATAATGGATACCCCAAAATAAATAGGACTCCTGATCAGGCTCGTAGTCCAAGATAATGAAATCAACAGGGAATATGAAAGAGCCCACTTGAACTAACACATCTTCAATCACTCCTTCAGGGTGAGCAAGGGAGCGATCAGCCAACTGTAAGATTACTGTTGTTGGGCATGGATCACCCAAACCCAATTGTTTGAACATAGATAGCGGCATCAAATTGATGCTCGCTCCAAGATCACACAAAGCTGGCCCGACTACATGCTTACCAATCGAGATTTGGATAGTGCAACTACCCGGATCCTTCAATTTTTGAGGTAGCTTGCTTTGGATTCTAGAGCTACATTCCTCAGTGAGTGCCACAGTCTCAAATTCAGTCAACCTCCTTTTATTTGCCACTATGCTTTTGCATATTTGGGCACTTTTTGCAGGATGTCTACCAGTGGAATATTGATTTGCATCTGCTTCAAAATATCAAGAAACTTTTTATACGCGGCATTATCCTTTACTTTCTGAAATCTTTGAGGGAACGTAGGTGGTGACCTCACAACTAATGGTGGGGGTTGCTTAGCTATCGCCTCTTCAGCTGGCTTCTCTGAATCCTTTGATTTTTCTAATTCTGACTCGATAGTTGCCAGCTTCTCATTAAAGATCACTTGTTTTCTCTTTTTCGACCGGACTTCTTCTAACTGTATCCTATTTCTCAATGATACAACATTAATAGATGCCTTAGGATTAGCCTCAGTGTTGCTTGGAAGAGCTCCAACTGGTCGAGTATTTTGGGCACTAGCAAGTTGTCCCATTTGTCACTCTATATTTCTTATTGTTGTGGCTTGGGCCTGCTGATCAGCCATTACTTTCTTCATTATCTCTGCTATTTTGGTCTGTTGTTCAACCATAAATTTCTTCATCATTTCCTCAAGGTGACCCATCGAGTTTGCATGTTGTTCAGCCTGAGGTGGTCTATATTGTTGTTAGGGTACTTGTGGCCTGTATTGATTTTGAGCACCTTGGTTTCCACCCAAGAAAAGTTTGGGTGGTTCCTCCAGTTGAGATTTTAAGTGTTCCCATACTGGTTTGTTTTGCCCCTATTTGTATTGCCCATAAAACAGACTGACTCTGGATTAACTAGCATAAGTTGCTCGTATGACCCTCTCCACATACTTCACAAAACAATTAAACATGTTTCACTGGCTGGGCTTGTTGCTTGTTAATAACCAAGGTCATCTGATTGACTTGGTTGGTCAAAGTGGAAATCTATGCTGATAATGCCGAGACGACATCTAACTCGAGAACCCTGCAGATTTTTGCACTGTATGTCTGCCCATCTCTCCTTGCCAATCAGGATTGCTTTTGGAGAATTTGTTCAATAACGCATATATCTCATCAAAGCTTTTCTCCAACACTTGACCTCCAGCTGCAGCATCTACCACAATCTTTGTCTCATGATGTATCCTTTCTATGAAAGTGTGAGATAATACTTCGTTTGTCTGATTGTGATGAGGACAGTCTCTGAGCAGCCCCTTGAACCTCTCCCAAGTTGAGTATAAATACTCCCCTACTTTCTGTTTGAAGGCGACTATTTCACTTCTGATCTTTGCAGTTTTTCCTGAAGGGAAGAACCTTGCCAAAAATTTCCTTGCCAGATTATTCTATAATGTAATAGAATTAGCAGGTTCTCCTTTCAGCCATCGCTTTGCTTCGCCCAACAGAGAGAACGGGAAAAGTGTAAGCCTCATACTCTGGAGTGACTCCGTTAGTGATATAAGTATCACTAATCTCCAAGAAGCTCAAGATATGCTGTTATGGATCCTCGTGTAGAAGACCCATAAACTGGCCATTCGCATGTGGTAGCTGGATCATGCTCTGTTTCAGCTCAAAGTGCCCATTGATTCTGGGCTTCACAATGCTGGAGGTGACATTAGCAATGCTGGGCATCGCCACCTCCTGAACATCCATATGTTGCTCCTCTGCCATGTTCACAGGAAATTGAACAAGTGCTTGAAGATTATTTGTGTCCCTTGCTTCCCTCAACCTCCTACGAAATGTTCTCTCAGGTTCGGGGGCAAAGCCTTGAAGTCTATCCTGGCTTCTAACCCTATGCATTCAATCAAAGTTCCTGAGATCACAGCAACAATCAAGTAACGTTAGACTTGACAAAATAAACAATGAAAGCAAAAACTAGAAAGTAGTCAATGTTCAAGTCCTCGGCAACGACACCAAAAACCTGTTGCTCCCTAACGCACACACAAGTATATGTGATTGTATAAGTAATAAAATGATAAGTCGAGTGTCGAACTTATAGAGACTTGTATCAACTACCCACTAAATTCACTAAGATTGTTATTCAGTCAAGCCAAGTTCAAGAGTTTAATTATACTAAACTATATTCTAACTAGTAGTTAGATTATTAAGCAGCAAAATGGTTGTTGTGTATTCAGTAGAGATAAATATTCCAGGATTGTGATCAATTAACCAATCCTATTGTGTCCTAGTTAACTCTCCCTTTCATGCAATTCACTCATGGTTGCTAATTAATCGAACAATTGCTCTCATAGTCTTCTCCCGAAGTACTACTCGTCTATTTAAAATAGATTAATGCATATATTCCTATGAAATCAATCTATTAAGAACGCATTAAGATTGAGATGTTTAATTAAGTACGGTGACTATGTATATTCCTATCCTAACCACAAATCTGCCCCCTCCCCCCAGGGTTAAGATCGTGCTCTCTTCAATTCTTCTCTAATATAAACATTGTCGCGCCCCCCTTTTTCCCCTCTTCCGTTAGGAGATGAGTTTTCGGGTTTTGACATTCATGGGTTGTAGTGACTCATTTCTCCTTTTTTGGGAATTGGATATTTTGAAGAGTCACCACCTAATGGTTTATGGAGCATTAGGACACCTATAGAGTTCATTTACAATTAGGTTTGATAACCAGAAATTGGGTAAGGGCTTGAAATTATCCCAAGGGGAAGGTGTTAGGCACCCATCAAGATCCACTAGTGTGGTTCCCTGCCAGATAGTTCTCTTGTGAATTTGTGCAAATTAGCAAGTAATCAAGTAAGGCTCAAGCAAGAGGGGATTTAAGTTAAACACACATGAGCGTTTGAAAACAATTATTGAAAGGCAAGGTTTGAAAGAGTTATAAGCTAAACATGATTGTAAAAAGAATAAATGGGGTCCTAGGTTTGTTTATAATATGGATCGCCTCCAATACCCGGTATGACACTCCTTAGAAGAGGGGATACACATGGTATTAGCGCACTGGTCATCATATCCATATCTACCCTTCCCACCCCGTTAAGGTATTAAAGCGCGGATTGGTCTCGACCTCTATTGCATGTTATTACCCGTCCCTTTCCTATCAGTTCCAGAGGAATTTAGGACTACTATTCCTATCGGATGGAGGATTTTTAGGCTGACTCTTAGGCTTAAAGGTAAAAAGGCTAGGCGACATACAAAAACATATAGGACTGCATTTAGAGGGAAACATGTAAGCAATTATAAGGCTCATGTATACCTCCGCAAATAAAGCACATAAATGACTTAAACACACTTAAGGTCTGAATTATAAAATCCTAAAGTAGAGTTTGAGTCAGAACCAGATATATAACTCAGAAAAGAAGTCTGAATCAGGCCTGCCTGCTGATTGTAGCAGTTGGTGAAAGGCAATTCCAATTTTAATTAAGTAATTACCTAAGACTTGCCTAGGCGTAATGGTGATGTCCTATGAGCAGGATGTCTATATCGATTGGTAAAGCAGTGATTAATTTTAAACAGGCGATTTGAATCCTATAGACATGCTTTCTAATGATATTGATTAACATTTAAAGAGTAGGTCATTTAATCTGATTCAGACAGGCACGAGTCAAATAGATTTTTTAACTAAATTGGTTTTACACCTTATAGGCATGATTTCTATTACAGCTGATTTTAAATCCTACATACATGGTATCTAAGTATTAAAGGCTGATTTTAGTCCTATAGCACGGTATCTAATTGAACTCGAAGTGGAGTAGGCGGGATTTATTTGGTCAAAGCGAAGTTCCTATAGGCATGATTTCTATTAATTTCAATCCTATAGGCATGATCTCTAATTATAAGGCCATTTAGATCCTATAGACATGGTTTTTAATTATGTAAAAGTAAAGCATGCAGAATTTTGTTAAAACCAAAGCTGATACTATAGGCATGTGATCTAACAGATCATCTCGAAATACACCCTATAGACATGTTATCTACCCTTCTAATAGCTAAAGCATGCATAATCACCCCATCCCTTTTCACTAGCCAGCCCCAATATTGTTTACAAATTATTACAGCCCAAATGATTGAATTACAAAGAAGTGCAGAAACAAGAAAATTACAACCAAAGGAAAGCCTGATCTTGACTTCCTCTCTAAGTTATGTAATGAACCACTTCAGTGCCAGAATTTCAAAGCCTTTCTCATACCTGAGTGTGTCAAAGTTCCCTAAGGACCTCATGGGATCCTGGGCAGTGCTTACACCCAAGTTTGCATAACCAGACAGAAATTATGTGTCCAAGTTAAGAGGGAGCTCAAGGGTCCCAAGGCAAGGCGCACATAAGAGGGACAGAACCTAAGTTCTAAGAATATAGTGGAAGTGCAGGACATAGTTGAAAAAAAAGAGTTTGTCTAAAACTGGACTGATAAGTCCATTTTGAAAGTAATCAGTAGCAGAAGTGTTTGAAATCAGTTGGGGCAATGAACAAAACTCAAACACACAGAATCAATAGTTACACAAAGAGGTCAAGGGGTTTTGGGAATACATTGTATGAAGTATATGACCCCAGTAGGGGTCAGGTGTGGTCATGCACCGCAATAGTTGATGCCGATATGCCCACAAACCAGCCAGAGAACACAAACACATAAAGGGGATGTGAGGGTTTGGGATTCATAAGTCAGCAAACATATAACAAGTGACTGACAGAGTACACACATAGGGAAGCCTTAATTTAAAAGGAGAAGGGAACATATTACAGCATGCTAGTAATGTAACTTGACTGCAGAAAACATAAGTAGAAGTAGACAAGAATGAGAGAAGTTGGAACAATTAGAGAAACATGTTGTTGTTGAGGCTTAAAAATTAACTAGGACATACCAGTAGAGAAGCAAAGTGCAGAAAGTAAAAGTAAGCAAGATTCCACAGTCTAGCTTTGGCTTTCAACCGGCTAGACAAAGCAGTAACACAAGTAGTAGTAGAGAAAAAAGAGAAAGTTTTGAGTGTGAGTGTGTGTTTTGAACTCAAAATGTTCGTGTGTTTGAAAGAAGAGAGGGTAGGGTATTTATAGTTTTGAAAACGAGTGAAGAATAAGGTAATAAGTAAATAACACAAACATGGAAATAATCACAATCAAAATCAATTAGCACAATTGATTCCCTTTAATTAAGGAATCACAGCTTAACGGATACTAACAGGGTTAATTAAGGAAAGAAATCAGTTTGAGACAGATTGATTCTTGCCATATAAGGGGGCAATAAAAGAATGAAGTAAATGATTGAGTCTAAGTACAAAAATATACTTAATTTTGGGAAAGTATTCAGTAAGATCAAACATCACAGTAAAGGAAAGGAATCAATTAGTTTAAATAAATGAGTAAAAAAATTAGGGTTTATAAGGGAACCCTTTGCAATCAGTAGCAACATTGAGGGAGTCAGAATCAATCTAGAAAGGCTCATGATTCTGCACCTCAACATATAAATAGCAAGGAATGAACAGGCATGCAGAGTCAAACATGTTGACAAAAAGAAGCAACACAAACATACAATAGCAGTATGGG